ATATAAATATATAAGTAATTAAATGCTAGCTTGAAGCTAAATGCTTCAAAAGGCTTTAGTAAAAGCAACAAATAGTTAAATAGAAGATAACAGTAGCAAATTAGTAGATAAAAGCAAATGTTTTTTAAAAGTAGCAAATTTTTGGCTAAAGGTTAAAAGTATCAGAAAACTAGCTAAAAGAATCAAAAGTGTAGCTAGAAGATAAACGTAACTAATTACTAGCTTTATGCTAAATATGTCCTAAAGCTAAAGCAACAAATAGCTATGTTAAGCTAACAGTAGCTAAAAGCATCAAAAACCTTTTTAAAAATAGCAAATTGTTAGCTAAAAGCTAAATGTAGCCTATCAGTCCGAGTGTAAAACTGTTTATTATGTGTCAAATCCACTGATGCATTGRTTCAGACAGGTGAGGGTTATTAAACTTAAGGGTTATCTTATCTTAACTGCGTGAAAAACAACTGCAACACAAAACTTACAGGAAAARATCAGGGAAGCTCAGTCGCCAAATTTCAACTTTACTCGTCTGGTTTCCAACGGCTAAGTTTCCAAGAAACTGGATCCCACAACGAAGAGCTGAGCCACACGAACAGATGGAAGAAGGATCAATGTTTCACAAAATGCAAACACGCTGTTTCATTTAACCGGGGGCTTAAATTTAAACTTACGATCATATTTGACGTCTCCGCTTCCCAAATCTGAGGTCTGAAGGGAACGCAAGAGTTTCAGGGAAACGTCAACAAAACCAAGTTCCCTAAAATAAAACAAAAAAAGGAGGCAAGTCAGCTTTGTTTTTAATTCTTAAACAAAAATATAAATAAATTCAGCATTACTAAAACATAATAATCACACTACTAAAAACAATCCAGCCACTGGAAACAATTTAGAGCTACATCCTCTTATACTTTCCTCCTACACTATAACATATTGTGAGGAGAAGTACCCGAGAAGTTTTTGGTTGCGTGTACTTTGTACACACGAGTTCCTCAGGGATCTGAAGCACTCAGCGGTCATCTGGAGCTGCAAGGTCAAAGTCTGCAGATCCTCACCGCTTCGGCCCTTCTGCAGGTCTTCAAACCTGGTGAGGACCTTCAGAAGACTGGAGAACGCCTCCTCCTCGACTGCATCCCTAAAAATCCCAAACAAAGAAAATATTTAGCTGACAATGGAAAAAAAACACAATTAACTTTAGTCTTGTGGCTCCTGGTCTGATGCAAAAGTAACATTAAAATTGAAAAGCCTCAATATTTTAACTGAAATGCTTCATGATACGTGGCTAGTATCACTCCGTGTTAACTGTAGCTTTGAATACAAAAAAAAAAAGTTTTGTAAAATCCATTTTCAGACCTGTAAATCTCAGAAAGTAATTTCCTGTCAAATATGACAGCTTCAAAGCAAAGCTAGCTTAGCTACTAAGCTAACGCTAATTTTTTTTATTTAAAAAAACAGCGACATGTGACACAAACTGTACCTGTATTCCGATTCCCGGAGGGCATTTGTAAACGCTTTTAATAGCTGCAAATGCTCAGGGCAAAGTTTTTCATTTAAAACCCCAGCGAGAGACGCTGAGATGTCCAAACTGTTAGCGGTGGAAGCTGCCATATTTTCCCTGTGTCATGCCTGTAGGCGGAGCTTCCGGTGTGGTACCGAAAAACGTACCCCGTCCCGTTAAAAGCCCTTTCACCAATAAAGCACGTTTAAAGGCAATTTTAATATCTCAAATTAAAACAATTAAGAGGGTTTTTTTTGTATAGCTAGAGATATATTATTGATAAATAATGCTAATACCATCGCTTTAACATTTTTTTTTCGTTTTCAATAGCAATGAATGCGTTCAGTGTCAACTTTGCAGAGAAAAAAATCAATTTGTTGTCATAAAATACTAAATTAAAGCAAATGTGTCGTAAAAGTGATAAAAACCAGGAAATAATTTGGCCCTTTGACTAGAAACAAGCGCACTGAACGACTTTCCTGGAAGATGTACAATTTTCGGCAMAACACTGAACCAGTTTCTGACACGCTATTGGTTCAATCCGGGATGAAGGCGGGGTTTAAGCATGTGCTGCTGTTTGTACACAGCCCATAGAGATTAATGACAAATGTCTTAAAAACGCCTGAGAGACCTTTTTTATTTATTTATTTATTAAAATAAATAAATAAATAAATAAATAAATGAATAAATAAATATCACTTTTACAAAACATGTTTAATTACAGCTGTGTAATACTTATATTATATTGCATAATAGTTACAATTACATGATTACTTATTACACAGCACAACTAGATACAAAATAAAAGCCTTCAAATGAGAATGTGCCGTTGACAGTGTTTTGCTCTTTATCCAGCATGGACTTTTAAAACAAAGTAAATTTACAATCCTAAATTCAAAAAGGACAAACTGTTATATTCCTTCAAGTTGTCAAACTAAATGTAGGATGTGTCTGAAACCTTTTTTACTGTAATTTTATATTTTTTAGATGATCCAAACTTATTCTGATTTAGAGCTAAATGTTTTATCAAATGCACCGATTGTTGAAAATAATATCCAAGCCAGTAGTGGGACAAATACATCTGTGTTTTTATTGTCCAGAAAGTGGATATATTAAAAAAGAAGAAAAAAAACATCATTCCTATTTAAGAAAACCTATTAATCATTTGTTGAGTGGAACAACTGAAAGTCTCCAAAAGTGGAAGTGGTGCACCGTGACGAGGGAAATCTGAGCAGCTGAATTACAGGAAAAACAGCCCATCCTTTTGGATTTCCGACACTCTGGAAACCTCAGCTATGCTAACTTAGMGTTGATGACTGTTTAGTCTGCTGGATTCAGGAAAAGACAAGAATCGACACAAGCGTTTTATTATTCACAGATGTCAGAACAATCTGTCAACACAAAAAGACAACCAGTGATGTTAAATCAAAACAACACAAAAACAAACATTTATCAAGTTTTTCATTCTGTCACAACACAAACCAGACATTAAAACAATAATGACAGCAGATAATTCAACGCTTCATTTGTTATAATTTCACTTTATTCTGTTTATGGCTCAATATTTACATCTTTAACATAATAAATAAAAGTAAAAAAAAAATTATGCGACTTTTACAGTTTGTCCCTCTTGGGATAGATTTCACTCATTTTTGGAGCTTTATCTATTTTTCCACAAGACTGGAGATGAAATTTGCTAAAAGAAGAAAGAAAATTTATTTAATACGTAATAAAAATGTTTGTCCTGGAAATAAAACATCAAATGCACTTTTGCCCAAGTATACAA